AACAACATAGATACATCTAAATAATAATAACTAGTAGTTATTAAGTGCCTACCACACACCCATGTCACCTCTATTCTCTAGAACAACCCTGAACATAGAAACTGAGTCTGAGAGGAGATTCAGTACCCTGCTCAAGATTACTGCATCTGTCTATTTTGTTTGTTGCTGCTGTTATGAAGTAGCTGAGGCAGGGTAACGTTATAAATAAAAGAGGTCTGTGTGCTTCATAGTTCTGGAGAGTAAAGAGCCTGGCACTGGCAACTTGGCTCTAGTAAGGACCTTGTAGAAGATGGCAAAAGCACAGGCAAGAGAAAGAAAGAGACCGGAGTCTGACTAGTCTGATAGTCCCTTCTAAGAGCACACTCCCACGTGACCTAAGGATCTTCCGCTAGGTCCCACCTCTTAAAGAGTCCCCCTCCAAATTTTGCTACACTGACCACCAAGCCCCTGAACCCTCAGAAGACAAATTCAAATCACGTCCAAACCACAGCAGTCATATAGCTCAGGAAGTGCAGAGCTGTCTATAACTACTTACCAGTTCCTAACCAGGAAACTGCTCCTCCCCCACACGACAGCCCTTCTGATCTTTGAAGATGGTACCCTAAGGCCTCTTGAGCCTTTGCTTCTTCAAGAGTGACCTCACTAGAGTCTCATGGTCTCATGTGGCAGGGCTCCCCGCTCACTGGCTCATCTCCTCCAGGGACTCAGATTACCAGTATCCTCCCAAATGAGTGAGTTCCCAATCAACTCGGCTTCCCAAGGTCGTCTCATTTTTAACTTGCTTGTTTTAACAGTAACAGTTTTGCTTCTGTAGTCATTGATAAAAGTCAGTCCAGAAAGAAGAAAATGTGTAGAAACAACAGCACCTGGGAAAACAAAGAAACAGTAACAAAAAGAAATTACAGCGCACCGTATTTGAAGACCGCTGTCACTGGAAGAATGGAAAATACTGTTGGGAGATGTATTGGAGATCCAAGCGCACACCTCTTAATTGATTCTTCTTGGCAAAATAAACAGGTGCTACAAAGGGACACTACCCCTCTGACAGAGGCACACCTGCCTCAGACATCCTTCCAGAAAAGTCTACCCTTGCTTCCTCATGCCTGTACACCAGCTCTGCTCAGAAGATGTTTCCACATCATACGGTTTCTGTCGACAATGACTTTGTATGCATATATACGATAATTTAAAGTACATCATACATGAGATTAGCATTTTCTCTCCTAAAATGAATCTAGCATTACAAAATTTTACTGAGAGACTTGTATAATCAATTTTAAATGGTAATTTAAATGATTAAATAGAGTTCATTTCATGAATACAAGAAATTGTTCCATAGGAAAATATCCATCAATATAAAGAACTATATTAAGGTAAGAGAAAATCTCACAGGATCATATCCAAGAATGCTGAAAGGCATTTGATAAAATTTAACACCTATTTCTAAATTTTAGGCCCAACAAAAAATAATAGAAGGATATTTTCCAACTTGAAAAAATATGACAACATGTATTAACATACATATTGAAAGAAATCCATCAATGCATACACCATGTGTAATGGGGAAACACTGAAAACAATCCCATAAAAATTAAAAAGGCAGGGGCTGAAGATGTGGCTCTGTGGTAGAGCTCTTGCCTTACATGTACAAGGCCTGGGTTCAATCCCCAGCACCACACATGCACAAAAAAAAATTTTTTAAGGGTTAGAAAGGCAAATCGGCATAGTGCCACACACCTATAATCCAAGCACTTCTGGAGGCTGAGGCAGAAGAAGCTGAAGTTTGAGTCCCACTGGGCAACTTAGCAAGAGACTTTCTTAAATTTAAAAAAAGGGGGGGGTGGGGAAAAATAGCTCAGTAATAGATTTCTCCTGGAATCAATCCTCTCCCCACCCCCCAGTATGGGGGAAAAATTTAGAAAAGCAAAGATGTCCGCCATCACTATTATTTAAAACTGCCGGGCATGGTGGCACATGCCTGTAATCCCAGCACTCGGGGGGCTGAAGCAGGAGGATCGTTGTGAGTTTGAGACCAGCCTGGGCTACAAAGTGAGCTCAAGGTCGTTCTGAACTGCCTAGTGAGACCCTGTCTCAAAAAGACAAAAAAAAAACCAAAAACCCACTATTATTTAAAACTATTCTAAAGGAGGCAGGATTACTCTTTACAAATATAATTTTTTTGAACCTAAGAGAATCTACCAAACACTATAATGAGAAATAGAATTCAGTAACTCTTGAGTGTATAATCAATAACATTAAAACAACAATCACAGCAGGCATGGTGGTAATCACTTATAATCCCAGCACTCGGGAGGATGAGGCAGGAGGATCACCACAAGTTCGAGGCCAGCCTGCACTACATAGTGAGCTCAAAGCCAGCCTGAACTACATAGTGAGATCCTAATCTCAAACAAAAAAATCTGTTAGAGTAAGTATGAAATAATAGACCCCATTTACAATCTTAGCAAAAAAATTAAATGCTTAGAAAATGAACTAATAACAAGTATATAAGATTTATGTGAACAGGTTACTGAGAAACTCAGAAGAAATATGAGCACTGGGAAAAGCCACTATGGTTTTGAACACAGAGCCACCAGGAACATAATGATATGAATTTTGCTTTTTAAAAAAACTTTAAATTGAAAGTAAGACCATTACAAAATTTCAGTAAAAAGTGAGGTACAGTGGTACACACCAGTAATTCCTGCTACTTAGGAGACTGCAGGAGGAGGGTTGCAAGTTCAAGGCCAGCCTGGACAAGTTAATAAGACCTTGTCTCAAAATTTAAAGAAGGGCAGGTGGTAAGGGATGAAACTCAATGGTAGAGTGGCCCTGGGTAGAGCGACCCTGGCCCTGTACCACAAAAAAAAAAAAAAAAAAAAAAAAAAAAAAAAAAAAACCACGAAGAGAGAGAGAGAGAGAGAGAGAGTGTGTGTGTGTGTGTGTGTGTGTTAGGTATATCAACAAGGCTTTTTTTTTTTATCTTTTTGAGACAGGGTCTCACTATACAGTTCAGGCGGGCCTTGAACTCATTTTGTAGCCCAGGCTGACCTCAAAAATCACAGTGATCCTCCTGCCTCAGCCTCCCGAGTGCTGGAATTAGAAGCATGCTCAACAAGGCTTCTTATAGGGACTTGACAAACTGGTTCTAAAGCTCTCATAGAAAAATAAAAAAGAATAGCTAGCAAAAGTCTGCAAAGGAACAGTAGCAAGGAAGAACTCATAGATAACAAAGTGAGATTGTAACTGGTGCAACCCCGGCAATGGGCACTTGTAAGATTTAACAAAACTCCGAATGCACACATTCTTCAGAGCTAACACAATAACTTCTAGGAATTTACCCATGAATGTACTTGTACTGTTGCAAAGTCATAAATGTGAAATATATTCATTGCAGTGTTGTTTGTGATACAATTTAGAAACATATGAAATGTCCAGCTCAGCAAACTGATTAAGTAAACACAGAATGCTCATACAGTGGGATTCTACAACAGATGTTCAAAGGAAAGGCACAGATATAGATATATACCTTTCCCCAAAATATTTGGTTATATTACAAAAGGAACAAAATGCAGAACATTAACATCCTTGTTTTTCTTTTTTTTGGTTTTTCTCCGGTACCGGGAACCGAACTCACGACCTTGTGCTTGCCAGGCAGGCGCTTTTGCCCCTGAGCTAAATCCCCAGCCCCTGTTTTTCATTCTTTTTGAGATGAGATTTCACTATATAGTTCAGGCCAGGCTTTAACTCACTTTGTAGCCCAGGCTGGCCTCAAACTCACAGGGATCCTCCTGCCTCAGCCTCCTGAGTGCTGGGATTATAGCTGACCCTGTCTGGTCAGAACATGTATCTTAAGCTCTTGTTCTTAAAAAATAATTCATAGAATATCTGTGAATGAAGACAGGAAATAGAGCATTAGCGTACAGTATCTGGAGAGATGATCTGAGAGGTTGGGAAACAATGACGGGAAGGAGAATGCAGACCTCTTCGTGCATTTTGAATTGTGTGCCTTCTGCATGTATTACATAACCAAAAAATAAATTAATACTTTCTAAAGAACAATGATAAAGTCAATTCATAAGGGCATTGAGAAATAAAATTGGTTTTATTCTTTACTCTATTGAAACTAGTTCCAGAAAATTGCCCTTGTGGTATTTCCATAAAAAAGAATTAACAGGTTCAAACAAATCAATGTCCATTTAGTTATTTCTCATTCAAGCTTGTCAGATTTTAGATGTGCAAATTTCCTGGGAACAGAAAATGTGTTTGCTTTGACTTCCAAGCTGAAATGGATTGTTCCTTTTCAAAAGTTGATTTCACCTGACATTATTAAACAGTTGAATTGCTTTTAGGTCATCTGCAGCCTAATTAACACTAATTGATCTCTTGAATGGCAGGATTATTAATGCAGTTTAATCACTCATTAGGCCCTCCGAGCACTGCCAACATGGAGGGTTAGGGGCCAGGGTGGCAGGTGGGGATCCAGCGGACTTTGAAGCACCTCTGTTGAATTAAATGCCTGTTATCACTGCATGCTCTGGCATTTGGCTCATCTCTCAGAATCTGGTTTTTGAAAGCTTTGGTTGGGGAAAAAAAAAAACCCAAAACGCAAGCCATGCAAAAGCTTTCATCTTGTGGGAAAACAGAGGGTCACACTGTAATTGTTGGTTGCTATCCCAAAGAATGTAATTGGTTTGATAACAAGAAAAAATGTTTTCAGTAAAACGCCCAAGGGAGTATGTTGTTATTCTCCAGCCCAAATCTAAGGTGTAACCTCTTGCTTTTTTTCAATCTCCAGTCCACCTCTCTGAGCATAAACAAGTAAACCTCAGCCCTTCCTCTGCCCCTACCTGCTTTCCACGGGGAGATGTTTTTATTGTGTTATTTTAGATAAAAGTTTAGATCTTTAAAAAGTAAGTCTGAAAATTTTTTTAAATCTAAATTCATACTTTGAACAACAAAGCTGTGCTAACGTCCATGTTGATACTTACTTGTTCTAGTAAAAGCTGGAGGAATGCGCATTTCCAAAAAACAAGAAATCGGCATCTTGGAGAAACACGCCAAGAAAACAGGATTAGAGAAAATGAGGTAGGGATGGCTTCATTTCTCCTTGACTGACTCGAGGAATTTTGGAAGACTGCCTCCAGAATTATTTCAGGACAAATGAAGGCCCCTGTGCATTGGAGGCCAAAAAGGGCCGAGTCTGGGGGTGACCTGGGCGGAATAACTACCAATGTGGGGGCTCCCTGTGGGTGCCCATCACGACGCCCCCACCCTCCTCCTCTGCAGCCAGCCTGCTGCCCCCTCCTTACAAGGCGCAGTCCTCTCGGCATCCAGACTAGCTGCTCGCCCTTCACTGTTTTCAGACCACCTTGTAAAATATGGCCCCTTGACTGGCCCCGTTTCTATAACTTGCTTTCTGCTGCAGCAAATCTCCTGAATTAAAAATACATGTCCTTGTTGTTTTGAATTCATCACTCAATAATTTAAGAAATAATAGCTACTATGTTTGGCATAGCCAGAGGGCATTCAGACACTGAAGCGGGTTTCTCCCTGCTCTTTCCACCATGACCTTGACACTGCGCTATTCCCAGAACCAAGCACAGCGCTGTGGGCCGGATCCCGTACAAAATGGATCAACCACTTTAAGCCTTGGTCAAGGAAAACAGGCATATTTAAGACAGAAATAACAATGCACAGTGGTGCACAGACTGTAAGCCCAGCTACTCAAGAGGCTGAGGCAGGAGGATCACAAGTACAAGGCCAGCCTGAGCATTTAGCAGAAAGATCCTGTCTTAAAATAAGATGAAAAGTGCTAGAGATATAGCCTGGTGATAGGATACCTAGCCATCTTGCATCAGGCTCTGGGTTCAATCCCCAGTACCACACACACACACACACACACACACACACACACACACACACACATCACAGACTGGCTCCTTCCGGTAGCACACTGAGGGGCATTTCATGGACTATTACAGATGGTTTCCACAGATGAGTGGATAAGCTGTTCAGAAAGGGTTGATGAAAGGATACCCAAGGCACCTCCTTAACTCTCACAAAGAGAATATGGAGGGAAACAGCCTGTGGAATTCCTTTGCCTCTTTCATATAATTATTTTTAAATCCCTTTTCAAGTTTTCTTCCAAATTTCTGAGAAAGAATTTTTAAAGGCCCTCCTCATATAAGAATGAAATATTTGTTTGTCTCCATCAATAGTAAGTCATGTGTTTCTTCTGATATCAGAAAATAACCAGCACATGATGAAAGGAGAACTGTTAGTCATCAAGTGTGATAGCCACACCTGACTTCCGCTCCAGTCCAGCCCCTAGAGCAGCCCCTAGAATAGTAAGGGATGATGAAACAGCACCCCACTGTTGTCAAATCACAACTGGTTAATTTGGGGGTCAGTTCTGTTTCTAAAGCCGGCTTCATTCATTGTCACCATGGTCACCATGCCTTGCCAGGGGCTCAGGGACTGAAAAGCCAGGCGTGGAAATGACTTTTAGTGAGCAGCCAATGGGCAGCTCATTCATTTCTCTGTACCTCAGGAAAGTGGGGACTCACTGTTAACCCTAACAGCTGCTGACAAAGCAGGCAGAGGGTTAGCCAGAGAGCAATAAAATGGTGACTGGAACCATCTTTAGCAACTCAGTCGCCTTCTAGTAGTCATTGAAAGAAGGGAATTAGACCTCTACAGAACTTACACTGCAAGAGAGAGCCTCTCCACTGCCCCAATTACCGGGGACAGATTGAGTTACGAAGGCTTCAAGTTTATAGAATTGGAGAGGGGACACCTTAAACAAAAATGACTAAGAATCACAAGTATGACATGTGACTTAAACAAAAATAACTAAGAGTCACAAGCATGACTAGGGCTGCTCTTGGAGGAAACCTGTGTGGTGAAAGGCCCTGAGATACCAAAAACCATTCTCTCTGCTGTAAACCGCCGCTGCAGGTCACTTTCCCTACGTGGTTTCTGCTTGCAGTACAAGAGCCTTGTTTTCCTGGACAAACACTTTTTCTTGGGTCTTCTTGGAGATAACTTTTTAAAAATACATTATAGGAAATAAATTTCTCAGCATCCTCTATTCCCTAATAACTTCTACTATGCAACAAAAATCAGATAGTAAAAAATATACAAAACACAGACTTTCTTTTCAGACCTTGTTCTGCAGTCTCAACCTTGACTGAAACCCTCCTAGAAAATAACCTGGACTGAGAGACAGGAACCAGGCACCGAAGAGTAGTACATTTTGTACATTTTATGAAGTATAAAAACAGAACTAATCTATGGGGCTGGTCTAACCAGTGTTTTCAGTTTGTGAATATGCTTACGGTATGTGTATTTTTCCGTATGTGTATTATGCTTCAGTGGAAAGTCTAAAAACAAGCTTTGCCCTACAAAGCTTGTTGTAGCTTGTGGGTACACAGAGGCAGAACACTTGTCTTCTAGGTGTTGCCAAGCCACATGAAAAAGCTTGACGGTCAATGAGACGGGCCTTTATATAAATCACCAAGCCTCTTTCGTGGCAGTTTTAAAGTCTTATTTGAAGTTTCTTTTCATTTTCACAGTGCCATTGCAAATGTTGCCAAAATGCAGACGCTGGATGCCCTAAATGACACACAGGACAAGGTGAGCCGTGGCAGTGGGGATCCCACGGAGCTCCAGCTCAGTATTTACCTGGTGGATCAGGCTGCTTGTCCGAGTGAGCTGATGACCACAAAGGCTCTTCCCAGCCCTGAGGTTCGACGTCCTTGTGGAAAAAGAAAATCTCTTCATCAAAAAAATACCAAGTGGTTAGGGTGATAAAAACCATTTCTCCCAAATTCCTAAAGTGTCCATTGCATAAATCATTTCTAAAATAAGATAGGAAATGCAGTGCGAGTCATGATGCTGAATTTGCAGAGCTTTACTCTGTCATCCCAAATATTTCTTGGAAACATTGGCTTGTTTGTTTTTTTAAAAAAAACACAGCCTGGATGTTGAGAATTCAGCGGTTTGTGACCTTTCTCCCTCCTACTATCTTCCCATGAGATACTACATCTGAGGTGAGGGTGGGTGCTGGAGAGTTGCATAGTTTAGGGCTGGAGGCAGGTTGAGCACCAGCTGGGCTTATCCAGTAAAGTCTGTTTCTAAAGATAGTGGCCTGTTGCTATTTTTGCTTCTATACCTTGAATTTCTCCCCAAAAGCTCAAAAAACTTAGAAAAGTCTTACCACATAGAAACCAGTTTGGGTTTTTTGGATTCAATGGATTATTTTCCCTAAATTTTGCAGGTAAGCCCAGTGAGGGGCCTCATTCTGCTTGTAGGAGGCGGAAGCATTATATTCGAGGTGACATAGGACCATGCTTTCTGCTACTCACACATTTATTGAAGAGACAGGACAGGGTGGCTCTGTAGAAGGAAGACTTGCTTTTGTGGGAAAGTTTAAAACTTTCCCTGCACATTTCTGAGACTTGATCGTTTAGTGTGAAATAAATCTGTAGACAGATTAACAGGAGAAAGGCATACCAATTTATTGCATACAAGGGGCAGCACAGGAAAGGAAGTACCCAGTAACCTAGTGAGGCTGAGAAGCTTATGCACCTGCTTCGCAGGGGAACCGAGGTGGAAATGGACAATTTAGAGTAAGAATAAATAATTTTTAGAAGAGGTGAATGCATTTGAAATGAAGAGATGGTGGGTGACAAAGTGTGTCTGGGCTCCGGGTGCTGTCCGCTCTAGACTTCAGCCTGCAGGGTGCTCATCTCTGCTAGGGGATAGGATAAATGCAGAAGCCATCACAGCTACAGTTGGGGGGATCTGGCCTTTAGGAAGATAGGAGATACCGCTCCCTACATTGGCCCTCTGCTCTTTTAGTTCATTTATTAGCATTCATTCACACCTGCACCTACAATTATGTTTAGTCCCGAGAACCCGTGTTATTTCTTATACCTGTTTTAAGAATGAAAGAGTTTAAGACAAGTCTTATCCATAGGATCTCATAAACTATTCAGTCATTACAGAAAATTTCTATTTTATGCTATCTATCTCTGGATACCCTACTTTAAGACCAACCTGAGGTTTAAAATTTCAAAACAATCCCCAACGGGTTGGTACAAATCTAAATAGGGAGGCACCTAACTTTCCCCTGCCACTATTTTCCCAGCCACCTTCCACAGACTTCTTTCTCCCAGTGCACCTCTCGTTCCCTCCCTGCCTCTCCAGCCAGCCCTTTTGTACCTCTCCACCACTAAATAACGACAGAATTCATGTGGCCCAGTGGTTGACATCCTGTGACATGACATTCCTGCAGAAAAGGTGTGGATACAGGAAAATAAACACTCCCAACCTGAATAATAGCTGGGACGAGTTCGTGTCCTCTAAAATCGAAGAATGAATTTTAGGAACAACAGAGGTTAAGAGCAGAATATATTCTTTGAGGGAAAGAAAGCTTCTGTCCAAGACAGGGACAGAAGGGGAGCCCGAGTGTCTTACCCCAAGACTCTGTCTTTTCTAGGGACTTTTATAGAGGAAAACCACAAGGTGAGGCAGGCCCAAGGTAGGGGAAAATGGACAAAACTATGGTCAGCCAATAGGAATTGTTCAGATAAAATTGATCAAAATGGGATCAGATGGGGAATTGAGTAACTTAGCAAGCAGGCATGAATACAGAACAGGGGTTTTTCCTGTAAGGGGTTGAGTCAATGACTCTTCAAGGTGATCGCTACCTGCTGAGACTATCAATCCCTGATGTCCATCCCTAGGGAAGTATGTGGGTGCATTTGCTTAGTCCTTTGTCTTGAGGTCTGGCCCACAGCCAACGCGTATCTCTCCTGTTGGCTCCTTCAAGGGCCTGGCCCTGTCTGACTGCCTATGATATTTCTGTCTAACTCAGCTGCTTATAATAATGTTATGCACCCTGACAGCTCTCCAGGCTAAAAACCCGGGAGACTTGCTCTTAGACCAAATTCTACCCATTACTATTTTTGATCTTTTAGATGTCATGTAGCTGCACTGAGATTTGTGGTTGCTCATTTAACTTAAAAACTTTTTTAGGTCAGGGAATGAAAGGATGATACTGCCAAGTATACTAATTACCTGGATGGTTGTGGAAATTAAATTTGGCAATGGTTGTGACGCTTCCTAGCACATAAAAGTATCCAGTTAAAATATTAACAATGAAGTCAGGTTATGGTATAAAGGGAGGCAGAATGTGGAAGCCTGGTTAACTTTTTTCAAGTTGCCACACTTTGGGGTCATAATCCCCAAAGACAGCCAGATACATGTGAAAAGAGATCCTGGGGGAGAGAAAGCTATCAAAGGCGACTGCAAATTGTAAAAGGTTCCTCTTGTTCTGTAGATTAACATCACCATAGGAGTATCCTTGAATTTCACTGAGATGAGCTGAATGTTTTGTTTTAAGCACTTTGCTTAACAGGGTGTGGAAATTTAAGTGAACATTGGAGATGGGAGTTAACACCCTGGAAAGATGAATGGAAGGGATGCGTCTGCACATGCCAGGCAACTTCAGGCTCTAAAACAAAATATGCAGCTGATTTCCTCCTATCTAGAATTTCTTTCACAGCTAAAAAATCATAAAAACTTTTATCATACTTCTCTTTGCTTTTTCTCTGAAACTAAAAATATAGATTCTGAGGTCATAGCCTCTCACAGTGAAGGTAAATTCTCAAAGTGGGAGTTTCTTTTGATCTGCACTTCAAGTTTTGTATGTTGCCCCTGTGATGAACCCTCAGCAAGACAAAATCCTATGTATTTACATGGCCCTTGAAGTCTTCCTCCCATGGGCTTCCATTAGATTCTCCTATCTTAATTAATGAATCAGAGAAGGGATGCCTTTCATTCTACAAATGCTATCATTTTACAAAGGCTAATGATGAAAATTCCAGCCCTTCCCCAAAGTTAAGACCCCAGACTAAAATACAGCAGGTTGTATGTTGTACTCTGGAACGCTGTTTCTCTGTATTTCTAGTTCAAAATTGAAAATGAAATCTTCTTATCCCCATTAGTACAAAATCTACAGCAAAAAAATTGGTGCATTTAGGGGCTGGTTGTCTTTTTCATAGTTTCATCAGTTCTGATGGAAGACCAATTATAGACTGTCCTTCCACAACCATCAGCCCTTCTACATCAGGGTGTTCCTGATTGACCAGAGCAGGGACATGAGAATGAGAACTTGACTCTTCTGTCATCATATTTGCAAGAATTGCTATAAAACTCTAGGACTTTGGTACTATATACTTGTAGCTTAACAATTATAGGCAGTTTCTCTAAGGGTGTTAGCATTACAGAATTAGATCAACTTCCTTCTTGATCCTGTTGATTTTCTTTTTCCCCCAAATTTTCCCATACTAATTCACAAATGACCAACAGGCCCCAGGGACTGACTTTGTCTCCCATTCACTCTAATATGTGTCCTTCCCCTTCTGAGCAGCATTGAAAAGTACTTAGTTAAAATATAATCCCTAACACTTGAGCATTGCTAATGGGCATATAATATGGTACGGGCACTGTGGAAAATAATATGGTATTCCTCGAAAAAGTTAAACATAGAATTCCCATGTGACCCAGCAATTCTCTTTTGAATGTACACCAAAACTATGGAAGTAGGGACTTAACAGATATTTGTGCACCAGTGTTCATAGCAGCATCCTTCACAATAACCTCGAAGTGGAAACAGTACCTTTGGCTAGTGAAAGGATGATATTCCAATGGAATATTATTCAACTTTAGGAAGCATGGCCCTTGAATTTATTATGCTAAGTAAAATAAGCAACACACAAAAAGACAAATACTGCATAAATTCCACTTTATAAGTACCTAGAGTAGTCAGACTCTAGAGACAAAGTAGAACAGCAGACACCAGGGACCTGGGGAAAGAAGAAATGAGAGTTATTGTTTAGGGGGTGCTAAGTTTCAGGTTGTGATAATTCTAAAGTTCTGACGGTGGATGATAGTAATGGCGGTACAATAATGTGAATGTATTTAATTCCACTGAACTGTGCATATGTTTAAATGGTTAAAATGGTTAGTTGTATGTTATATTTCACCAGAATTTTTTAAAGACCAAAAAATACAGCCCCTAAATTGTAAAGATCATCCTGTAGATGACCAAATAACAAATCAGTGCTGAATGAAGCAACATGTGTGTTCACACACAGTTGTCCTTTTTCCCTCCCACCTCTGCCCATCCTCGCTCTCACCTTAAGAATAACAGTCCACACGTGGCTTTCTCCTTCCAGTCCCAAACTTGTCCTCTTGGCCTGCCTCGCCTTGGCTAATTGCCCAGGTCTCTGTTATATCAGAATTACTTGTTTCTTTTCTCACCCCCTTTACCTTACATCTGACCTTAAGTAAATTGCCAAATTGTTCTTCCTACTTGTAATCTCTTGAATGTGATTTAAAGCTAACCTGGGGGCTGGGGGTTTAGCTCAGGGGCAAAGCGCCTGCCTGGCAAGCTCAAGGTCATAAGTTCGATTCCCAGTACTGGAAAAAAATTAAAAAAAAACAAAAGCTAACCTGAAATAACCTATCTGTTTTAGTTGAGACTAAAAACAGCCAGTCTGGAAGCAACTACAGAAGCCAGTGACCTCTTATATTTCTTTCTGGTTCTAATGTTAAAAGACAAATAAAACACAACACCCTTAATACTCTATAAAGTGCACATCAACTGCACTAGTAATCTGACCTTAAAAAAAAGTCCCCAGCTCCTTTCCAGATTCAAAAGCAACATTTATGACAAATATCTCAATTATATTTCTCCATTCTGCTAGAATGTCAGTAGAGACAATCCTTGGCCTTAATTAGTATATAATTTGTACCTGTTCATTAAAAAAGAAAAAATGAGAAAATACTGATAAGTAAAACAAAGACTAGGAACTGCCACGATCCTACCCCCCAGAGATAACCATTGTTAACACTGCAGTGTATAATCTTTCAGTGTGTTTAATTTTTCAAAACCAAAAAGAAAGGACTTTGGGAGTCAAGCTGCACATGAAAGGAAGAACTGTGTGCCCATGGCTTGGCCGGGATATTTGAGAAGAGATGTAAAACACATATGTCTTCTCTGGCTTAGAAAGCCCAAACAAACCATAAACAATGTGATGCTTGGGGTCATGGCAGTTTATCTCCCCTTTTATTTAATTTGAGTGTCAAGGCAAGGGCATCTAAGATCTATAGTGGTAAGTTAAGTTCCTAGTGAGCTGACACACCCCTTCCTTGCTGACTAAAAGGTGTCATCCTTAGGCTGTGTTGATGGATTGAAAACCAAAACCTGGAATAGGCCCAAAAGCTCCCTGGATTCCAATTCTCCTCCTAGGAAAATCATGTGTGAAGTGCTCAGCAGCACTGGGCATCCTTCACGGAAGTTCTAGAAGGTCTCTTGGTTCTGTAGGAAATTCCTCTTATTGTCGCAGTCTCGTTCTGCTCATTTACACCCGTGTAAGCCTGTCTCCTCACTGATGTCTTCAGTAAAGATGACTAATGGGAGCTTTTTTTACCTGAACCTATCAGTCTCTTCTTCACTAGGCTATTTGATTGAACCACATGGAATAACTAAAGTCATAGTGTTTTCACATAAAAAACCAGAAATTTTTTGTGATTTGACCTAATAAATAATCTTACCCCTTCTTAACTTCCTAATCTTTTGACACCTGATGGGTTCCCCTGCCCCAGAACCTTTTCTAGAGTTCCCGTAGCCTCCTTCGAATGTAGTAACCCACATATGCACACTAGTGCCAAAATAACTGTTCATGGTACAGGACACAGATGTGCATATAATTAACCATTTCTACTTTTTTTCAGTGCAAGGGCTCAAACCGAGCACCTCATATATATTAGGCAAATGCCCTACCACTGAGCTGTTTTCTCAGCCCCCTACTTTTTTTTTTGCCCTTTACTTTTTAAAACATTGCTTCAAAACATATATATATATATGTCTCTGGGTTTGACTCAGTGGTAGAGAACATGGCTAGAACTCAGGAAAGGCCCTGAGTTCAACTTCAAACACCAAAAACTAAAAATAAAAACTACCCATATACATATATATTTTATTATATATCATATATTTTATAATTTAAAAAATTAAAGAGAAGTTAATGAGGGAAACATCAGTATAACACGCACTCCTATGGCTCCAGGCTGAAACTGGAACGGAAAAAAGAGATATTGTCAAAGAAATATGCAAAATTGTAAAATTCTCCCGACCAACTACAGTGCTTTCTGCTACTTTAATATTTCATGACCAAAAAGATTCAGTGTGGTTGTTTTTTTCCCCTTCTCATCTTTAGCTCAACCATAAATTTCCAGCAACAGTGCACATGGCACATCAAAAACCCACGCCTGCTCTGGAGAAGGTCGCTCCACTGAAAAGGATCTACATTATTCAGCAGCCTCGAAAATGTTAAGCCAGGATGTAAAACACAACCAACTAGCTGACTGCTTCAGGCATCTAGCAGCTTAGCAAAAAAGACCCAAATTTTCCATAGGCCTAGTGCACCTGTCTGGTAAATAAAACAGCTTTTGTATCTTCCTTGTTGACTTTAGATAATAAAGCACCTAAAATTGTAAATCTAGTGTATTCCTATGTCTCTTTTTGGTGTGTGTCAGGATCCCATCCATATTTATATACTTAATTCTGTAGAGTAAAGAAGAAGCAGAACACCTGCCAATGCCATTTCCCACACTGGGTCCATCCTCTCTTCGTGGATGCTGACCCTGGGTGATTTCACCCATACTGAGCTCTCTTTGAAGCGAGGGTTAGAGAGGAGCACACCGAGGTTTCAAAACCCAATGTTCTATGCAAGTGTGAAGAGTGACTCTTCTCAATTTCTTTGACTTAGGATTTTCACTTGAGGTCACATGTCTCTTCAAGTTCCCTATACAAGTACTTAGTTTGTTGGAAGATTTGGTGGGGAAAATTTTTTAAATTAAATTAATTACAAACATATTCTTTTCTGCCAAGCAATCAAAGATGGAAGGTAGAACTACATAGTTTCAGTAGGAGATTTGCTGAGTGTCTCCCAGGGAGTTAATGCTTAGAGTCAAGGTGATTGTGATACTACAGGGGAATGCGGTAGGCCGTAGAAACTGATTTTTCATTGGAGGTAGGTTGTGAAAGAAACTGTTGCCATAACTAAGCCTGCTCTATCTTTCTTACCCTTCCACAACACACACACACACACACACACACACACACACACACTTCATATTCTCACATTCGGAGAGCCAAAAGCAGCCTCAGATAATGGGAGGGAACAACCTCATTCTCTCTGCACAGATGTCATTCATTGCCCGCCACAGCTGCACTTCTAACTGATCATGTCATTCAACAATCAGCTCTTCTTAAAAAAAAAAAAAAAACAATCAGCTCTTCTTCTTATCCCAGGAAGAGGTCCATCACTTTGCAGGTTGACAATACTTAGAGTCTGACCTGGTACCAAGCCATGCTCGGATTCCTGGAAATCCAAAGTCAACCGGCTAAAGCCCAGTGGTTGTAAGGGTCCACCTTATCACCTCCGCTGCCCTGTTTAGCTCTTCTTCAGGAAAAAGAGCATTATTTGAGACAATACTGAGCCTTTAGGCAGTGCCAGCATGAATCAGTAAGATAGTCCTGATCACCCGCCTTGGCTTAACTCAGTTCCCAGTCCTTGGAATGACCTTGGAACAGACAAGGAGAAAAAGTATCAGGCCCATGAGAGAATTCTCGGAGGATATGGCCACACATGCAGAAAAGCAAAAGGACTGTTCCTACCTGCAACTGAGGAGAAAAACCCAGCATGGATGTCGTGGCTCCCTCAGTGAAGAGCTCCTGAAAGTGTGTCACAAGCCCAGAGGAAGTCATGACAATGAGAGACAATGACCATAGACTGGGGATTCACTGGCAGATACTTTTCTTTAGCTCATTTCAGTTCAGTTCAATAAACTCTATACTAAGCACTGGGATACAAAGATGAGTAAGACAATATCTGGCCACGAGGATATCTTAGATTGAAGAAATAAAGACATATTGACAAATCATAGGAAGGGAGAATTTAGACGTGGTTGCAGGAGAGGGTGCTGTGGATAGGGCTCAAGAAATCACCAGAGTGGTGTGTGGTCAAGAAAAGATGGGTAGGAGCGTGGTGGTGTGTACTTCTAATCCCAGCATTGGGGGAGGCTGAGCTAGGAGGATTGCAAACTCAAGCCTGGATAACTTAACCACTTAACAAGAACCTGTGTCAAAATTTTAAAAATGAGCAGAGGATATAGCTCAGTGCAAAAGCCGTGGCTGTAATCCCCAGCATTGAAGAAAGTAAGAAGGAGAGAAAGAGGGAAGGAGGGAGGAAGCAGAGAGGAAGGGAGGGAGGAAGAAAAAGAAGAAAGAGAAAGGGAAGAAGGAAGGAAGGAAAAGAAAAAGAGAGAGAGAAAGAAAGAGAGAGAGAAGAAATATGGTCTGTGGCGATCCATAACCCATGTGAGGCTCACAAAGTTTGGGTCAATATCACAGTAATTTTTAGACTCCACATATCCATCACAGAGCTTCAACAAGTAACTAATCTTATTTTAGGAATAGCCTCTATCCCCTTCTTCTTTTATCTCTTCCCTCTCTCCTTCTGTGTTGTTTTGGAGCAAATTCCAAATATCATATAATTTCATCTAGAATTGCTTCAGTGCATTATCTCTTAAAAAATAAGCATGTTTGCCTCTTCTCTCTCTCCTTCTCCCTGTCCCTGTCCTTCTCTCTTTCTCCTCATCTCTCTGTAAACTGAATCTGCACAAATATTGTGGAGCAAAAGGGAGTATTTATGTAAGCCACCAAGAATCTTTCACCGTAAAATGAAGCCTGGTGTTCCTATACTAGCTACAAGAGCCAAAACAAACATTGCTGAGCCCGTGACACCCGAAAGGCCTACTGGGGAATCTGAAAGCAGCAGGGAGAGCCAGCCAGCTGAACGTGGAGGTGGCGCTCAGGCCGAAGGATAAGCAAGGTAAATACAGAGCTGCTGTGAGTAAACAAAAAATACAGGAAGTTTCCATGGGCAAACAAAATGTACCGGAAAAAAAACACTAGGGAAAATTAGTTCTTGCTGAGGAAAAGGATATAAAGAAGCAGAAAAAAACTGTCTCTGAGGCCACTCAAAAAGAACAGGGTAAGAGAGGAACAAAGGGGACAAATTAATGGCAGGAAAAACGAAAATAAATTTATTCAACAAATAGTTGCTGGGCTCCTCCTGTATAGCAGCTTCTCTTCCAAAGGAACTCAAATCATGACTGACATTTGACACTTTTTTCCTTTTTTGTCCAACACTGAGGCTTGAATACAGGGCCTTGCACTTGCTAGGCAAGCGCTTTACCACTGAGCTACTCCCTGTACCCTTGTTATTTTTTTATTTTGAGGCAGGGTCTCATAAAGTTGCCTGGGGTTGGCCTCAGACTTGCCATCCCCTGCCCCGGCCTCCTGAGTGGCTGAGATTGCAGAGGTGTGCCGCTGCACTGTACCCGGCTTTTACATATGGTATTTTAAAATAAATATCTACATGTCAGCTGGAGCCACTACCCACTTCAGAAGAGATAAGAGGGCTACAAGCCCAGGCTCATCTCCAGTGGATATTCTAAACTCTTCCCAAGATGTTTGTGAATTCCTGGGGGATCCACAGCCATGGCCACCTCTACTTCCCATGAATTCATTAATTACTCACTGTCCCCAGGCCCCACCACCCTGACCTAGACTCAGCTCCTTTCTGTGATTTTCCCAAAAGCCTACTAAGTTTAACAAAGATTTGGCAGAGCTTACATCACAGTAGCCAGATACCTGCCGTAGAATATTAGATTTCCTGACCCTGTGTAAGTCCATGATGCACCTCCCTCCACCCCACCCCACCCCACCCCACTAGAAGGTGGTGCCTGCTGCTCATTTCCGCCTGCTCTTTACACACTGGCAGCTTCATTCACCACTTCCCTCCTCTCCCTCTCTTTAGCCAAATTAGTCATTCAGCTATTTCTCTAGCTGTTTTGAGTCCTAGAAAACCACATCCTCCAGGAGTCTGACATCAACTTTCAAGATGTCAACATTTTCAACCAAGTATGGCAGAATGAGTGAATGCTGAATGAGTGAATTACTTAGAAAAAAGTGAAGTGACAGTGAGCTTAAAAAAAATGTGAAGTCAAAGGAAAAAGGGAACTTTCCAAGGAAATGCCGAAGGCCTAAAACAAAGACAAACAAAAAATTGGGCAAGCAGAACACTTCAACTAAAAATCCTTAACACACATAAGATTTAAAGTTGGCGTCGCAGACAGTATTTTATGAAATCATTACAAAAATCCACGGTGGCCATTATTATCCTATTTTACAGTAAAGAAAAATGAGCCTCTGGGAAATTAAGAGATCCTGTGAGGTTTTATGCATTAAATGGAGAAGATCTCTGGGAATTTTTACGCCTCAATCTAGAACTAGCCAAGCATAATGACACACGATTTGTAATAACAGCACACTGGGAGGGTGAAGCAGGAGAACTGCAAGTTCAAGGCCAGCCTAGGCAATTTAGTAACTTAGCAAGACACTGACACAAAATAAAAAAGGGGCTCAATACATAGCTCAGTGATAAGGCCCCTTGGTTCAATCACCAGGACTCAATCAATCAAGCAGTCAATCAATCAATCGATCAACAGTGCCTCTGCTGCTGGACAGGGAGCTTAGAAGTCTCCAGAGAGGAAGTGGGAGTCATTTTGACTTAAGAAATAGAAGTAAATTTGAAGAGAGAAATCTATGTATGAAGGACTGGTTTGGAATGAGCCAAATTCCTCAATAGGAAAAGAACAGCGCCAGTTCAAATTCTCAGACTTCTGTAGAAAACACAAGGTGCAGTGTGGCTGTCTGACAGATTGGGAGTAAAGCTGGTTGATTTTGCGGAGTAAAACAGTTTTTGTTTTGTTTTTGTTTTTGCTTTTTCAGTATGGGATCAAACCCAGAGGCTTCTACCATGGAGCTATATCCACTCCCCACCTCTTCATTTTGAGTCAGGGTCTCTCACTAAGTCCCCTGGCTGGTCTTGAACCTGTGATCCTTCTGCCTCACTCATGCACCCTCATGTCCTGTGGGAATAAACCAGTTTGGGAGAAAGGATCCAAGGTATACATGAACCCTCAAAGAAAAATAACCAAAGATAAAAGGGAATGTTGCACGGATGTCTTTCCTGTGCACAGCAAAAGGCATGAGGCTGCAGGAGATGATCAGTGTGTCTTGGGAAAGGAGACAGAGCCGCAAATAAACAAAAGGCGGCCTCTGCATTGCAGTATTTCTCATCTGATTCCAAGGCACAGTGATAGAGATCTGAATGTTTACTACAAGGGATTTCCAAACCATTCAACATTACAGACTGTTTTTTCTTTTTCTTTTTTATTTATTTCTTTGTTTGTGCTACTAGCAGTAGAGTCCAGGACCTTTCTATCGACCTTCACTTCCAGCCTTTTTTTTTTTTCATTTTGAGACAGGGTCTTGCTAATTTGCACAAGCTGGGCTCAAGCTTGTGATGCTGATGCCTCAACCTCCCAGAGCGCTGAAATTACAGATGTATGCCAGCACGCCTAGTT